TTTGTAGCATGTCGGACAATTTCGCAAATATAAAGTATAACAAGACCCTGGTTCCAGGGTAAGCTGGGATACCTGGAGGATCTAAAGGACCTGGCTTCAACATGCATGGAGGATTTAGTTGGTTGAGCTTCCAAAACTACTGATAAAGTATTTCATGACATCTCAAAGTAATGATAAACCAGACCCTGGTTGGGACGGTTTACTAGTATCAGAGTCTCTAATACCCCATTCACACCAAGGCTTAAACATGTTTAAAAGTGGTTTAACTAAACAGGTTTGAAAAACTATCTACGAACACTGCACAATATTTGGTGAAATAATGCATGTAAACTATCCTTTGTCTTGCTCTGACAATATTTTAGAAAGTTTCATTATATTGTACGCTTCTAGTTTCTCAATTTTTTGTTTCGGCCCTCAAGCCGAAACAGTCACTACATTCGGTTTGCCGGCCCATAATAGTCTCCGTGCGTGTCATTTAGCTGTCAGAGTTTTGCACCTAATCCAATCATATGCCGTTTCCATCATAAGCAATGGGAAAATGTAAAACATTTCACCATGCGGAGTATTTCGGAGAGTTGCGGTGAATCTTCTCTGAGGTAGTTGTGTAAACTATATTATGCTATTTCGCATGACGCCATTTTTTGGAAAAAAATATATTATTGATTAACCCTACGACAATGCGTATTTTATTCCTAAGTCAGTATCTAGGTCCAAGTCGCCAAGTAGGTAAGTTATTGAAAAGTGACGGCGCACTGGTCAAAGACAAGCCTTGTATCTTTTCGTTCGAATTGAGACTTTCGCATTTTCTTCAAGCTACGATATGAGCTAAATACTTTTACCATAAATGCCAAAGAGCAGAATGAAGGTTTAAAAAGTATCCTACATTCAACATAGCGCGTACAGTAATGCTCATGTGCCAAAATATTTTGCACTTTGTACTCTGCTCTCTGCGATACTCGATCATTGTTTATATCTATTGTCGGATCTCTCATTTGTTCGGCGAGACGTTATATGTATGTACGTTGCCCTGATTTCTCCCAAAACACTACGATGTTTCAAAGCAACAACCACTAAAATCTTCAAAAAACTTAATTACGATGTGTTTCGTCCAAGAGAATTTTATAACAAATGTTTCCATCGAAATTTGCGTAAGACTTTGTAACGTGAAAGTGTTCCGCGAGATCGCTCTTGTCTGCCATTTTCAAAATACACGAGACCCAATCATTTACCACAGCAAGACCAAAATTCTTTATTCAGCAATGCCACACAATACATAGATAACGGGCCGAAACATCATCGCTTTCGAAGCGATATAGGCTTGTTTCCTAATGAAAACATAGTTTAACTAAACACGTTTAGGTGTGAATGGGGTATAAGAATCTAAAGGAGAAGTAAAAATAAATTGAAAAATTTCGAACGACAGTGTTTTAAAAAAACCGTTTGCAGGCAGAGCGTTTATTGCCATACTCATCAAACTCAATCTGGAACTGCAATTCCAGTTGCGGGATCCGGATTTTGGCATACGTAATTAGCTTGTTGTGCAACAACGTCTCAAAAGCATGCACATTCGCACGGCTCGCTTTAAAATCAAAATGCTTCATTTAGAACGTAAATACAGGCTAATATTTGCTCAAAACCTCTCTCATAATTGATTTACATTCTATAATTTATCGACATTTTTTTAATGAATCGCCATGTTTTTTTGAAGAAAAATTAAAGGAGATCGTAACTCTTCGAACGGCAAAGATCAAACCCTGGAATGTGCTTAGGAAATTATTTATCTTGCTTCTTAAATTAAATAGAATCTTAAAATGAATATTGCTATGTACCTTATGTTCCTTTGTGAGTAGACTTTGAAGCCAAAACAATTCATATAAATACATAAAAGTAGGCTATATATAAGACTATATTGTCAAGTTCAAGAGAATAACGAGTCATACTGAATGAAATATTCGTTTACTATCGCTTATCGCGTAATTCTGACTCTTGAAACCCTGTTCTCCTCATCGATCTTCGCTTGTTCGTGCAGAAAATAGTGTTCGGGGTAGATAAATCATGAATAGATAAACCAAAACAAGCTTTTTCCCATGAAGTTCATTGAAAATTCTTAGAAATAATCGCTTCGAAATCATCCCGCTATCTTTTCGGCTTGAAATCCTTGTTTACGAAATTGATAAATTAATATTTCTAGTTCGACTGTCTTGAATTACGGCGGTCAACGAAATAGAGCATGCGTAGACGTAAACCTGTGCCACGTGATCTGCTAGCTCCGCCCTCTCATATTCACTTGACATTATAGTGACATTGATTGACATCTGGTACTTGATAATTGATTGGACCATAGACGGTAACCCTATAGCAGATACCCGCAAAGGTCTCTTGGGTAAGTTCCTGAAGACCCCTGGGTAACTATTGCGCAACTTTGCCATTCTGTCGTGGAGAGAAAAAAAACAAAGGCATTTTACAGCTGGTATACCACAAGTATCCCAGTAATAAGAGACGATAGGCAAATAGACTATTACTTTTTTTGTCACAACTAACCGAGCCACAGGGATCCCGGAAAGTATGTTCTGAGTGGTATACAAAGTAATATATTTCTATCAGCTAAAATAAACACATGAATGACATTGGCTTGAACAAACTTACCTATACTTATCGCTATGTATTTTTTTTCGAGGTTCGCTATAAACATGATGCATTGTGGTCTAACTTGAGTACAAACAACACCATATAGAGGCTTTGCACCATCACGTGATGGCAGCCATGACAGGAGGCACAACAATAGAGTCTTTTTCCCCTGGGAAACTTAATTCTTTCTCATGTAAATCAGATCGATTAGACCAGATTCAATTGTTCCTGCCTCCTGTCATGGCTGCCATCACGTGATGGTTCAAAGCCTCTATAACGAATGATAAACAAAAAACGTTTGTACCCAAGCTAGACCACAATGCACCTTGTTCGTTAACACCTAAAAAATTCAAGGCAGTTGAATAAAAAAAAAGTTTTTCTTTCGTTTCTCTTGAGTGTTATGACAGGACCAACATGACGACCATGTCTTGCGTTTATTTGATTTTGTGCTAAATGATGATGTCTTTCTACATGATGTCATTCCCTTGAGTATTATTACTTTTTTTTGATAAACGTCTGAAGCAATCCCTTCAGTAAAATAGGAAATCCAATCAGGATTTAGAATAGAATCAGTTTACAAAGCATGCATGGCACAAAAAGCAACTATGTTTAAAGAAACGCATTTACTTAAACGTGCGTACTTTATACCTTTTATAAAGATTTTTTCTACAAAAAATAAAAATAAACCAAAAATTAAGATTAAAAAACCATTAATCAACTACGCCATCAGCCTAAATTGACGTCATATGACACGTCATAATCACATCATCCAGGGTCCGTTTACATTGACGTCATATGACACGTCATTATGACATCATCCAGGGTCCTTTTACATGACGTCATATGACACGTCATAATGACATCATCCAGGGTCCGTTAACATGGAGAAAGCGAATACCTAGCAATAACTTACCTAATGTAAACAGGGACTTAGGAGCGTCACGTGAAACATTGTTAACTATGTTACATCATACCATACGTCATAGAGTATGGTGACGTAATTAAGTGTGATGAATTAAAAGAAGAGATAACTAGCTAAAAACTAGTGTGAGCAATTATAGTGATGTTATTTGAAACGTAAATAATGGTGTCATTCATTTGATCAATAGTAAGTGGCGTCATCTATTGCGTCATGAACTATGAGGTCATTTAGAAGCGAGTGGAAGGCATGGCTCGCTTGACGAGTGCTTTGAAAGCCATCATAGTGTAGTGAGCATCGTTGCCTGCATTGTGGAGAAT